GGAAGGCAGTACTCGAGTAGGAGTTTGCTTCATCATTATGAACTTTTAAGCTTTGTGTACAATTTGCTTTTTCCACTTGTCATGAGGAGTGCTTTTGTTGATTATCTGATTCTAAGGTCAACCATCTTTTGACAGACAAAGGACACTGGTATATAGTTACATTTTATTATAATGCTAGCTGTAAAATTGGAGTTTTCTCAAAGTCAAAGCCTTGCAGCACTCCAGGAGCTACACTGGATTAACAGCATTGTGTAATTTTGTTGCCGGATTTCTTAGTTTCTTTCACACACTAATAAAGGTGATATGTATTGACAAATTCCCAAGATGGGGACTTCAGATGTATCTTCTGGAACTAAGAGCCAGTGAAACATGGTTTTGAAAATCTGTAGAAATTTCCTCATGATATTTTACTGTGTGACTTGGTGTTGGAATGTTTTACCAATTTATATTGGTAGTTTAGTATGCATGTTCAACAGTTTTATTTGACTCTTCCAATGGATAAGAAAGAAACAAGTATCCTCAGTTTAGTTCTTCACAAGGATTTCTATTTAATGTTTATATACTTTGAAATTTACAAATTGATATTTGCTTTATGGCAGTTTTATCATTTACTTTGTAATTTTAAAACGTTAATCATCTCTGTGCACGCGTATTGGAGTATTGTGGCCTCGGTCCATAAGGAGTGTGGTTACTATTTGTACAAACGACCACATCATTCATTATGGGTAATTATTTGGATCTACAGTGTGAATGATTGTAAGCAGGAGGTATGAGGTATTATAGACATTTCTAAAGCTTCTGAGAAACCTCAGAGTGGTCAGTTTCCTTGGCAATTAGCAATTAGGGAATTTTTTAAATTATTAAGAACATGGCATTTAAATGGCAGTTTCTACTATTGATTTGTTATATTCATACCTGACTTTTAAAGAACTGTATTTTGGATTTTTGAAATTTGCAACTTACACTAATTGTTGAAACCAGTCTAAAAATATTGAATATTGTCTTGATGACTTTTAAGCATAATTGTATCATTTCTAATGGATTCTTTTCCTAAATCCTGTGATGTCATTGCCTAAGTGAATTCTCTAACTTGAGTCTGTCGACTAGCACTTTCTTACTGCAGTAATTTCTCACTTTTTTGTCTTCACCATGTTACATATAATGAATAGACACCCAGTTTTTATGAAACTCCTCAAAAATTGATGAGAATTCATGTTTCACAAACCTTTATGTATGTAATGTCCTTGTCATGGTTGCTTGTTTTAGAATGTATACACCGTGTGTCTAGAAATCCAGGGTAGAGTGCAGCAGGTAAGTTTGAGGATGACTGTCCAGTTCATGGTATCTCTTCCCTCTCTGGCATCGGCTCCCAATACTGTGTCCCTGCTGTGGCTGTAACCCAGTGAACACTGAGTCACAACATCTGATGTTGCCATGGCCAATTGGATCATCTGTCCTGGGAGGTTAAAATTTAGAGCCCAGACACAGAAGTTTGGCATGGTTAGAGTGAATCATGGTATTGATTGTGCTCTAGCAGAAAAGTCCTCAAGTTCCCTTTTCTAAGCTCTCTGAGCTGCCTTGGTTCCTACCCTTTCTGAGTCTTTAGTCAGTTGCACTTACATTCTGGGAATATTGTTCTTTTGTTCTTTTTTTCTGAAGATAAGCCAGAGATGGTTTCTGTTGCTTACAGCGAAAATAAATTGAGTCACACACAAACAAACTGTTAGAATTCTGTCATAGGTATGTCATGGACAGCATTTCGAAAGCTGGTTATAGTTTTCCCTTTGCCTCCTGCTTTTAGTGGCCTCTTCTGGTGCCTGTATGTCTTGCTTTCCCTCAATAATCTCGTTAATTTTTTTTTTAACTCTGTCATTACAAACTAGTTGTAAATACTTTTGTCTGCATACTTACTAAAGCCCAGTCTCCTATAGATCACTTCCTGTAGGCTTTCACAATATTGTGCATACCTTCATGACAGCACATACTACTTTATGTTGTTATGATACATTTGGCTGGTTCATAGAAAGCAGCTTCAGGCACTGAGACATGTTCATCCTTGACTCCTAGCACCTTGCACATAGTTAATTATTCCTCACTTTAAATTATAGTTGGCCCTTGGACAACATGGGTTTAAAGTGCGTAGCACCACTTGGGTGTGTGTGTTTAAAAATTTTTTTTTAATGTTTATTTACCTTAGAGAGACACAGACAGAGGCACTAGTTGAGGGGGGGCGGGGAGCAGAGAGAGGGAGACACAGAATCTGAAGCAGACCCCAGGCTCTGAGCTGTCAACATAGAGCCCAGTGTGGGGCTTGAACTTATGGACCATGAGATCATGACCTGAGCTGAAGTCAGATGCTCAACGGACTAAGTCACCCAGGGACCCCTATATGTGTTTTGTTATTTTTTTTTTAATTTTTTTTTAACATTTATTTATTATTGAGAGACAAAGATAGAGCATGAACATGGGAGGGGCGGAGAGAGAGGGAGACAGAGTCTGAAGCATGCTCCAGGTTCCAGCTGTCAGCACAGAGCCTGATGTTGGACTCGGACTCTCAAACTGCGAGATCATGACCCCAGCTGAAGTCGGACACTTAACTGACTGAGCTACCCAGGCGCCCCTATGTTTTTGTTTTTAATAAATACAGTGCTTAAATGTATTTTCTCTTCCTTATTATTTTCTTTTTTTTTTAGTTTTTTAGTTTTTAGTATTATTTTTTTTAAGTAAGCTTTACACCTATTGCGGAGCCCACTGTAGGGTTTGAACTACGATCCTGAGATCAAGGCCCAAGCTGACTGAGATCAAGAGTCAGATGCTTAACTGACTGAGCCACCCAAGCTCCCCCTTAACGATTTTCTTTAATAGCACTTTTTCTAGCTTACTTTATTATAAGAAATAGTATATAAAATATATAACATACTAAAAATATGTGGTAATTGACAGTTTAAGTTATTAGTAAGGCTTCTAGGCAGCAGTAGGCTAATTAGTTAAGTTTTGGGAAGTCAGTAGTTACAAATTTCAACTGTGGGGGGGGGGCGGTCAGCACCTCCTACATTCCTCTCCCATGTTGTTCAAGGGTCAGATGTATTCCCACTTGGTGTATATATGCCAGAATCCATTCTGTGCTCTGAAGATACCTCAATGAAGAAAACAGGCCAAAAATGCCTGCCTTCTTAGGACTTAACATTCTAAATTATATTTTCATAGTTAAAGACCATTAAGATAGTTTTTCAAGTAGACTTTTAGCAATATATGGAGTATTGTACTGTAGTGCAAGAGTCTGTGTTACTTTTCCTGTCCTTATATCACATTTTATAAACACCTATTTTAATGGGATAATAGGATGTATGGCTGGGAAGGAATCCAGTGCTGTGCTGAATGCCCAGTGCTAAAGAAAAGTGCCTGTAGGAAACTTGAAAAGTTTATGATTTTAGAAAGTTCCCTGCACATGTTTTATTTGAATAAATATGTTCAGCAATTATTGTTTATTTGGAATGCTGTGCTGTCGAGATGGTCCTAAAATATGGACAGAAAAACCCCCCTCAAACTTAGGCTTCAAAGCTTGTTGTATAATGTTTTGTAGTCTATCACAGCATACTTTAAATGAGCTGGAGGCAAGTTAAAGGACAAGTTTTCTGAAGACTTTTTCTTGCCATTTATCTTGTCACTGAATTATTTCATAGCATGCTGGTGGGCATAAACATTATTAAAAATTCTTTGCTCCTTGAAAACTCATCTCTGGTAATTTCAGGTAATGTCAGTCATATATTCTAAAGAGAAATATTTGGCTCAGAACATTTTTAATGGGGAAAAGTCACAGAAACACTTTCACTTTTTAAAACAGAATATTAATCACCATGTTATTGAAAGTTCAAATACTAGATGAGAAAAAATCTCCCAGATCCCAGTTACTAGTATTTTGGTGTATATATAATTTTATATCTTGTTCTTTACATTTGGAAAAATGTAGTTCTAATATACATATATCAAGTTCATACTCTCTGTTCTCAGATTATTTCTCTTAACATTATGTTGCTATAGTTATATCACGTTTTTCCTAAACCTTAAACTTTTGTACCAGGATTACTAGGTGTATGACCCAGGCTGCTCCAAGCCTCAGTTTTGTTATTGTGAAAAGTACTGTTGTGAGGAGTAAATGAACTAGCAGGAGAGAGCCGCCTGGGAGTTGGGCTGTTACTAGGTGCTTAGTCGGTGTGAACTAACTACCCCTCTCCTTGTTTGTTCAGATTCTCCTGGGAGAATATGCCCTGCATATCATTTCACCCTTAAAGTTTCATAGTTTTTTTTCTTAAAATAATTTTAACTTTATAGAACCCAAGAATGTTTCTTTTAAGAAGAACTTGGGTACATGTAGGGGCGCCTGGGTGGCTCAGTTGGTTGAGCGTCTGACTTCAGTTCAGGTCTGATCTCATGGCTTGTGGGTCCAAGCCCTGCATTGGTCTCTGTGCTGACAGCTCGGAGCCTGGAGCCTGCTTCAAGGTTCTGTGTCTCCCTCTCTCTGCTGCTCACCCCTTCCCTCTCTCCCTCCCCCCCCCCCTTTCTCTCTCTCTTAGTATTAAATATTAAAAAAAAAAAAAAAAAAAAGAAGTTGGGTACATGTTTGCTTGTATTTCTGTGAAAAATACATTTTTTAGGAGCTAGAATTATGTGGAAAAGTCAGGCTTTTTTTTTTTTTTTTTTTTTTTTTTGGCTAGCTTTTCAGGATATAAGCCTCCTGTATAGTAATCTGGTGGCATGCTTTACACATTTGTTTTGCTGAAAACTGTTTATCTTTTCCCATTATGGGATCTAAACCATGTTAGCCATTTCACAGGTAGATGGTCTTCTTTAAAGTGGGGTGTTTCTATATAGGTGTGGAACAAGAATTTTTTTTGACGTGTGCATATTCCTGTATTTGAAAAAATGTTGAGAAATTTTAACATTTCTCTACTAAATGTTTTTCTTGCACTTTACTAATTTTTTCGCCCTTGATATTTTAGAATGAACCTAGTGATCGAGAGGATGGCCTCAACAAAAGACATCATGTGACGGATTCTGAGAATGATGACCCCTCAAACCTTAATGCCAGTGACTCTGAAAGTGAGGAGCTTCAAAGGCAAAAGGACAGTGACTCTGAATCTGAGGAGCATGCAGAGCCTGTTGCAAGTGATTCTGAAAATGAGGACACTCATCAGCGTGCGAGTGACTCTGAGAGCGAGGAGACCAGGAAGCTACCTGTCAGTGATTCGGAAAATGAGGACCTTCTTAATGGGCACGCAACTGATTCAGAAAATGAAGATGTTAGAAAGCATCCTGCCAGTGATTCAGAGATGGAAGAGCTCCCCAAAAGTCCTGCTAGTGACTCTGAAACAGAGGATGTTCTAAAACCTCAAATCAGTGACTCCGAGAGTGAGGAGCCCCCACAGCACCAGGCCAGTGATTCCGAAAACGAGGAGCTTCCCAAGCCTAGAATTAGTGATTCGGAAAGTGAGGAGCTTCCTAAGCCTCGGGTCAGTGACTCGGAGAGTGAGGAGCCTCAGAGGACTCAGGCCAGCGACTCGGAAAATGAGGAGCTTCCCAAACCCCGTGTCAGTGACTCAGAAAGTGAGGACCCACCACGGCACCAAGCCAGCGACTCAGAAAATGAGGAGCTTCCCAAGCCCCGTGTCAGTGACTCGGAAAGTGAGGGACCCCCACGGCACCAAGCCAGCGACTCAGAAAATGAGGAGCTTCCCAAACCCCGTGTCAGTGATTCGGAAAGTGAGGACCCCCCAAGGAACCAGGCCAGTGATTCAGAAAATGAGGATCTTCCCAAGCCCCGAGTCAGTGACTCTGAGAGCGAGGAGCCTCAGAAGGGACCCGCCAGTGATTCCGAAACTGAGGATACCTCCAGGCACAAAGAGAAGCCAGAGTCGGACGAGGACAGCGATGGGGAGAACAAGGGAGAGGATGCAGAAATGCAGAAGGACTCCTTTCGTTCAGATAGCCATATAGACAGAAAAAGGATCCAGAGTTCAGACAGTGAGGAGGAGGAACCCAAAAGGCCAAAAATTGACAGTGACGAAGATGAAGAAAAAGTCGGGGAAGAGGAGAAAGTAGCAAAGCGAAAAGCTGCTGTGCTTTCTGACAGTGAAGATGAAGAGAAAGCATGTAAGGATGCTTCCTTTTTTGAACTGTTTGTGCATAGTTTTCATTCTTGTCTGAGCTTGTGACTGTGAAGCTCTGTGTGTTTCTGAAATGTTAGATCTCTACTATCTCATTCAACTTGATATTCTAAAATATCACTAGGACACTAGTTTTGCTTGGTTTTCAGGGGCCGATCTTAGTGTTAAATTGGCTTTGAGTTGTTTTAGGAGCATTGGTTAAGGTCTTACTGGTTCAAAACAGTAAACTAATGGAGTTTCCATGGGAACATGAAAGATAGTTTTCTTTGGGGAAGAGTAATATTTCAAAGAAATCTGTTTATGTGCAAACCCAGCTGGGTGCAGACTTGGCTGTGGATCTGACAGTTAATCCGCTAGATCCCATGTAGATAGTGACTGAGCTTCCATGGGTACCTGTCTTGTTAAACATCGTCAAGGGGCGCCTGGGTGGCGCAGTCGGTTAAGCGTCCGACTTTAGCCAGGTCACGATCTCGCGGTCCGGGAGTTCGAGCCCCGCGTCAGGCTCTGGGCTGATGGCTCGGAGCCTGGAGCCTGTTTCCGATTCTGTGTCTCCCTCTCTCTCTGCCCCTCCCCTGTTCATGCTCTGTCTCTCTCTGTCCCAAAAATAAATAAACGTTGGAAAAAAAAAATTTTTTTTTTAAACATCGTCAAATAGTTGCCAAGTACAAGGAAGTTTGTGAGGGACTGTATTTAGAGACTCCGTGTCTCTTTCCAGTCTTTGCTAGCTGGGCCCCTATTTTCATGGATAATAGTTTTCACTTCATTACTTTTTTTTAATGTTTATTTATTTTAAGAGAGCATGAGCAGGGGAGGGGCAGAGAGAAAGGGAGGGAGAGAATCCAAAGCAGGCTCTGCACTGTCAGCGCAGAGCCTGATGTAGGACTCAACCTCACGAGTGAGAAATCATGACCTTTGAAATCATGACCTGAGCCGAAATCAAGAGTCGGACACTTAACGACTGAGCCACCCAGGCGCCCCTTGATTACTTTTTTATGAAACTTACTTTTGAGTGGGGAGAAGACATATTTCCTTATGACCTGGCAGTTATAGGAGAAAGAAAAAGAGCCTCACACACGTGCCAGCTAGTTTACTGGGGGAGATGAGAAATTCCAAACCGACCAGTGATGATCAGGAAGTAAGGGGATTCCATAAAAGAATATCTAAACCTTTTCAGTGCTGCTAATACTCAGCAAAATAGAAGGGACTCTAATTCTGCATGTCATTGCAGTCTTCAGTTTTTCTGTTCCCCCAAAGGAAAGGTGCCTATTGATACCCACTTTTATGTTGACAGTTTCGTTCTTCATCTTCTGGCCCCTTTTTCCTAAACAATAACAGATAATTGTAATATGACTCTGAACCTTTTAGTACCGTTCTTTTTAAATGAAGTATTTATTTAATTTCTGCACCCAGCATGGGGCTCCAGCTCATGACTCGGGTCAAGAGTCTCTTGCTCCTCTGACTGAGCCAGCCAGATGCCCCTAGTTATTTTTCTTTTTAATTATTATTCTAAGCTGTGTGTTAGGAGCCCTTTGATTTTTGCTGAGTACTGCCATTTTAAAAGCACCTGTTATTCTTAGTAATACCATGATCGTGACAAATAAGATTAAGGATATTTTGAACTTTTTTTTCACAGCAGCAAAGAAGAGTCGGGTTGTCTCTGATGCAGATGACTCTGACAGTGATGTTGTATCAGATAAACCAGGCAAGAGAGAGAAGACTCTAGCTTCTGACAGTGAAGAAGAAGCAGGAAAAGAAGAATTGTCTGATAAGAAGAACGAAGAGAAGGATCTGTTTGGGAGTGATAGTGAGTCGGGGAACGAAGAAGAGTAAGTGACAGCATAACGTGAGTTTTCAAGGGTTCATGTGAGGTGGTAGAGAGGGCTTTGTCTTTTAAGTTTTTTAAACTTGTATTAAAATTTTATTGGGAGGTGATACAGTATATCCTGCCCGATTGCATGATTTTGGGGGATTCAGGATTTCAGTTCCTGAACTATTGTTATGTACTATAACATAGATGAATCTCAGAATATTAAGTGAAAGAAAAAGAGGACATGTCTGATTCCACTCATGTGAAGTTCAAGAGCAGACAAAATTAATCTGTGATGACGGCAATCAGAATGGTGGTTGGCTTTAAGATGTTCATGTAGGGTATTGACTGGAAAGGGATGAACTTTCTGGAGAGATCAAGTTGTTCTATATTTTGATTATGGTAATGGCTATGTGAATGTTGTCTTTTCTCAAAACCCACTGAAACGGACACTTAAGATCTGCACATTTTATGATACGTAAATTGTATCTTGTTAGAAAAAGATTTTGTGGTTCCTGTGTAAATGAGAAGAAAGCAAATGATTTCCTTCTCTTCTAGAAATCTTATTGCAGACATATTTGGAGAATCTGGTGATGAAGAGGAAGAAGAATTTACAGTAAGTATAAGATGGAGATATTTCTTTAAATATGCTCTTTCTATTTCTGTGACAGTGGTTCCCAAATAGGTAATTCCAATAAGTAGAAATAAACAGGTATGTAAAGGCACCTGAGTAGCTCAGTCGAGCATCGGACTTCAGCACAGCTCATGATCTTGAGGTTTGTGAGTTCAGGATCATTGCTGTCAGCCTGTCAATGCAGAGCCCGCTTCAGATCCCCCGTGCCCCTCTCTGCCCCTCCCCTGCTTGCGCTCTCTCAATAATGTTTTTTTAAAAAAAAAAAACAAAAAACAAGTGTGTATTCAGTAGAAAAATCGAGAAGAAAGGATTCAGAAAGTGGAATAAAAGTGTATACAGAGGCATAGAAGGAAAGTAACAGGCAAAATTGAATTAATTGGAAGGAACATGTTAAGAGACGACAGAAGGTACGTTATAATGCTGAAGAGAAGGATTCACAGTACTTATGGAACTTGTGATTCTAGCTATGGTAGGCTAGGTAATTTGGACCAACCTTTCTGCTAAGGACAACTAGAAAAGCTAGATAAAATACTTAAAAATCTCATCAGCAGAGGAATAAGGTAACAAAGAATTACTAAGCCCAAAGCTAGCAAAAGACAGATACCTAAACAGGTAAGCTTGGACTGGGTGTCTTATGTAAGAGATGAATCACTGGGTTCTGCTCCTGAAACCAAGACTACACTGTATGTTAACTAACTTGAGAATAAAAAAATAACAAAAAATAATTTTAAAAATGAACAGTTAAAAAAGAAAAGAGATAAGCTCAGCATTTAAAATGCTTTTTCTGGGATGTTTGCCTGTTCATGCTGAGAGGCTAGTCATATTTTAAAAAGAATTTTTTTTTAATGTTTGTTTATATTTGAGAGAGAGAGAGTGGGAAAGGGCAGAGAGAGGAGGAGACACAGAATCCGAAGCAGGCTCCAGGCTCTGAACTGTCAGCAAAGAGCCCATTGTGGCGCTCAAACTCACGAATCGCGAAATCATGATCTGAGCCGAAGTTGGATGTTTAACCAACTGAGCCACCCAGGTGCCCTGAGGTTGGTCATATTTTTGACAGTTTCTGGGCTCAAGAGACAGTATTTGGAGGTCAGAGCCTGCTGAGATTAGGAGACCCTTGAAAACCTCTTGCTCTTAACTCTTGCCTACTGCTCTCAGGCACCTGACATATGTAAACAAATCCCTTCAGGACAAAGGTAGCATCATCACAGGCCTCATTTTTTCTGTAGTTTATCAGATATGCAATGTGGTACCTAATTGTCAATAACGTTAAAAAGAAACAATGGTGACCTCAGACAATAGAAATACACCTTGAGGCTCTAGAACAAGTTTTTAAGATGTTACCTTAAAAAAAAGCTCTTCAGGGAGGTAAAAGGTAAGAAATTTTGTCAGAGCAAACAATGAGAACTGAGTAAAAATTCTGAAACTGTAAAATTACAGTAACTGAAATTAATTCCATGGATGAGTTTAACGACAGATTAGATTTATTCGAAAAGGAGTGAAATGATGGATGATAGGTTAGAAGGAGCTATTTAGAATGAAGAATTAAGATATGTAAAAGAATAAAATGTAAATTATACATGAGAAGGTTTAACATAGGTTGAATCCTAGGAGAGGAAAAAAATGTGGCAGAAGCAGTAAAGGAAATGATACATAAAGCTAGAGATTCTAGAAGTACAAATTATGAGCAGGATAAATGCAATGATATGATGAAACCTACACCTAAATACATCATAGTAGAATTGCAAGAAACCAAGAAAGACTGGGAAATATTAAAAGTAGCCAGAGGGGGAAAATATTACATTCAGAGAGGCAAAGATTAGACTGTAACAGCTGACTTCTTAGTAGAAACAGTAGAATCCAATAATTTCAAACTCAATGTTCTGTTATAGTCAGCAAAAATATTTGTCAGGAATGAAGATTCCCTCCTAGTTCATCTTACCAGGATACCAATGGAAGGAGATATGAAAGGCAGAAAATCTCAGGTGGAAGGTCAAGGACTCAGGGAGGAAAAAAGCAACAAAAGTATGTGGGTAAATCTAAATGAGTATTGATGCTACAAAAAAAAAGTTCTGTCTAGTGTAGATTAAAATATGTATAAAATTTCAAACGTGTGACAGCAGTAACAAATTGGGAATGGACATGGTCTTTACAGATATGTAAAAGGATGTCCGTAGACTTTGCATTGTAATCTCTGAAGCAACCACTAAGACGACTAATAGAATGTGTAGCCTCCAACCTAAGGAGGAAAAGATGGAATAGTAAAAGCTAATCCAAAAGAAGGCAAGAGAAAAAAAAAAAGAGGTATAGAACAGGGGACGATTGGAAAGTAGTATATGGTAAAGGTAGCAGATTTAAGCTTTGATAACTAACATCTCTGATTATATTCAGTTGAAATGTATCAAGTGCTCCAATTAAAGCACAGAGATGGTCAGACTGGATTTTACAAAATAGCTATATACTCATTTCAAGATTCATATGAAACAGAAGATAAAAGTTGAAAATAAAAGAATGGAAAAAGATACTCTATGAACACTAATCAGAAGAAAACTGGCACAGGATATGGATATCAGAGAGACAGACCTTGATCAAGGCAGAAAAACATTTGAGATAAAGAGGGTCACTTCATAATAAAAAGTTTTTAAAATTGTGTATATATACTATGACATCTGAAATGTATATACACAACAAAAGTTGACAGCTGCAAAGAGAAATACACAAATCTGTTTTCTGAGTGGAATGTAGCCAATAGAACAAGCAGACCAAAAAGCCACAGAAGAGTGTCTTTGTATGTAATCTGGATATGAATACAAATATAAAAGATTGATGATTGTAAAAGTTAAAATTATTTCCTATTCTTTGTCTTGCCTTTTCACATCCTTAATGGAGTCTTTTGATGAACAAGTTTTTAATTTTAATGTAAATCAACTTTGCATGTCTTTTCCTTTATGGTGAAACTTTTTGAATTCCAAGAAAGTTTTGCTTATCCCTAAGGTCGTAAAGATATTCTCTTTGAATTATTCTCTAGAAGCTTGTTTTAACCTTTCACATTTAGTTGTACAATTCACCTGTAATGGATAATGGGTGTGTATGAGATAGAAGTCAAGGGGTCCCTGGCTGGCTCAGTCTGTGGAGTATGTGACTCTTAATCTCGGGGTTGTAAATTTGAGCCCCATGTTGGATATAGAGATTACTTAAAAATAAAATGTTTTACGGGCGCCTGGGTGGCTCAGTTGGTTAAGCGATTGACTTCGGCTTGGGTCATGATCTCGCAGTTTGTGAGTTTGAGCCCCGTGTTGGGCTCTGTGCTGACAGCTCAGAGCCTGGAGCCTACTTCAGATTCTGTGTTTCCCCCTCTCTCTACCCCTCTCCTACTCATGCTCTGTGTCTATCTCTCAATAATAAATAAACGTTAAAAAAATTTTTTTAATTAAATAAATAAATATATAAATAAAATGTTAAAAAAAAAAAAAGTCAAGGTATATCCCCGCCCCCACCCCATTTGGAATATCCAGTTGACCCAGATCATCCTTTCCTGCTCCTCTGTAGTGCTATCTTTGTCATTACATGTAGTGTCTATGATTTCCAGTCTGTCTCAGCAGTATCTTCTCTGTTTTCTTGGTCTCTTTATCCTTGTACTGTTAATATAGAACTGCTTATATTTGGTTGTATATGTCCTCTAAGCTTGTTATTCCTCAAGATTGCCTTGGCTTTTACTTTTTCCCATTCCCATATAAATTTTAAACCAAGCTTTTGCAAAAATTACAAAGTATAGCCAATGTTTTCTGAGTACAAAGCAGTGAAATTGGAACTTCATTACAAAATGAAACAAAATATCCTTTCCACCCAGAAATTTAAGATGTCCTTGTCAGGCTGCCTGGGTGGCTCAGTTGGTTGAGCATATGACTCTGGATTTCAGCTTGGATCATGATCCTAGGGTCATGGGATCGAGCCCTACATTGGGCCCCGTGCTGAGCATGGAACCTTTTTAAAAGATTCTCTGTCTCTCCCACTACCCCTCTCCTCTACTCGCAGTCTCTTGCTCAAAAAAAAAAAGATTAAAGAAAAAAGACATGTTTGTTAAACAGGTCTTGCATTGAAACATCATTAATTACTAAAGTAAGAGAGTGAAACTAGATGAATTTAGAGTCTAAGATGGTAGCAGGATAGCAGAGTGAAGCTAAGGAAACTAGGAAGAATTCATTCAACAAATATTTGGGAACCTGTATGCCAGATTGCGTGGACATTGCTCTTGTGGAGCTCATACTAAGTTAAGCAGCATTTTACAAGAATAAGATGTGTTTCTCTAGTTTGGAGAGTTAACGATCAGCTTGGTTATAGGTTGAGTTCAGTGAGAAAAACAGCATACTAGGTGAACCATTGGAAAGGTCTTTCTAAGTATGATGTGAAAGTTAGAAGCTATAAAGAAAAGACTGACCATAAAAATAAAATATTATGCCTGGAAAACATTACCATAAACAAAACAAAACTGCAAATGTGAGGATTGTGCTGTCCCTGTCATTTACAGAGGGCTAATTTCCATAATTTTTATTTTATTTTATTTTTTTTAATGTTTATTTATTTTTGAGAGAGAGACAAAGACAGAGCACAAGTGGGGAAGGTGTAGAGAGAGAGAGAGAGAGAGAAGGACACAGAGATTTTGAAGCAGGCTCCAGGCTCTGCGCTATCAGCACCAAGCCCAACCTGGGGCTCAAACTCACAAACCGTGAGATCATAATCTGAGCTAAGTCAGATGGTTAACGGACTGAGCCACCCAGGTGCTAATTTCCCTAATTTTTAAAGAGCCTTTCCATACCAATAAGACAAAGCTCCAACAGGAATGGACATAGGATATTGGGAGTTCCATAGAGAAAGAATTACAAATGGCTTTTAAACATGAAAAAAAAAGGCTCACCCTTATTCATGCAAAGAAAGATGCCTTTTAGTTTTCAGTCCAGATATTGGCACCTATTAATATTTGATACCTGTAGTAGTGAGAAGCTGGGGAAACAGGTGTATTTATGCTTTGCTGGAAGGAGAGTTAATTAGCATAACTTCTGTGGAAAGTTTGGTATTTCACAAAATTTCAAATACATATACCTAAATGTCAGTGGCAAAACGTATAAACAAATAGTTGCAGTCATAGGGTGAAATAGTGTAAAGCCTTAAAAATGAGAATACTTTATGCCAATATGAATTGGTCTCCAGATTGTGTTGTTAAATGTGGAAAGTGCAGAACATTGTACTGTACCCAGTGTGTAGAGTATGCTGCCATTTATATAATAAAAGGAGATAGTAAATACATATGTGTACAAATAGGTATATCAGTATAGGCTTAGCCTATTTCTGGAAGGAGACCTAAGAAAACTAGTAACACTACCGTCTAGCGTGGGAGTCAGTTTTTTTGCTATATGCTTTTTGATACCTGTTTAATTTTTGTTCTTTGTGAATGTATTACTTTAAAAAGGCAAAACATTAAAAAAAAAAAAAAAGCAAAACATTTAAGAGCAGTTATACAGAAGAAAATCTATAAGAAAGTTGTGATAACCCTGGCAAATTTACCTGGCCTTTAGGGTTTTAACCAAGAAGATTTGGAAGAGGAAAAAAGTGAAACCCAGGTAAAAGAAGCAGAAGATTCAGATTCTGATGATAACATAAAGAGAGGAAAACAGTAAGTTTGTTTTATTTTATTTTTTTAATTTGTTAAAGAGAACTTAAAAAATGAAGGTTAGAACCTATCAAACGTTGTTTTTTCTTATTTTGGTTCCTTATTAAGTGTAGGAAAGAACCTGTTCCATTTTTCTTTTACTTCTCTATATACAGTGCTGTCTGAAAATGTTTACTTTTGTTATTTTTTTCATTTGCCCTGTGCTCAGCTGTCTTGATTTGTGGGGTTATATAGTGTCACCTTCACCAAGTAAGCTCTTGACTTACTGAAAAATAACCTAATAATTAGAATACATTTTTTTTTTTTTTTTTTTTTGAGAGAAAAGCTGACTTTGGGATCCCAGGGGCAATAAGGTAAAGTTTTAGCTACAAAATATTAGTCGATTGAATTTCACATACTTTTGTGAGACGGTTGGAATCTGTGTTCAGAGAAGTCTGGTATCTTGAAAGGTGCCAAATTCTAATAAGTACTTGCGCTTTAGAAGAAAGCAGCATTTCATGGAGTTAGAATTAAGAAAGTTGGTGGTTATTAACTGTGACAAAAGGAAATATGTATAAAGGGGGTTTGTATTTCACTTGATTTTGTGTTGCTGCTTAGTATGGACTTTCTGTCGGATTTCGAGATGATGTTGCAGCGGAAGAAGAGCATGAGCGGCAAGCGCAGACGGAATCGTGATGGCGGTACTTTCATCAGTGACGCCGATGACGTAGTGAGTGCCATGATCGTCAAGATGAATGAAGCTGCCGAGGTGAGATGGACCCCTGCCAGCCCCCTCTTGCCTTTCCTCACTTGATTTGTTGTGTGGCCTTTTCAGGGAAGGGAAAGAAAAAGTAGCTGGTGATTGTGTAGCTGAAATAAGACTGAACATAGGTGTTCAATTGTTGAAATAAATGTATTGATAGGAGTATACTATCTTGTTTTCCGTGTTGGTAGAATTTGAAATTTTCTGTAATTCAAATAGGAGAAAGCATCCAAGTAAACAAGAACAGTAACATTGTTCCCCTAAATTTGTAATTGGTCAGGCTAATTACTCTGATAGTTTTGTAGGTTTGACAGAATTTGGGGTTCTACAAAAAAGCATATTATCCTTTCTTGTAGAAAAAATTGTTACCTCGCGAAATTGCTGCCTTATTTTAAAGTTTAGGGGGCACCTGGGTGGCTCAGTCAGGTAAAGCATCCAGCTCTTGATCTCAGCTCAGGTCTTGATCTCAGGGTCATGAATTCAAGCCCTGCCTTGGGCTCTATGCTAGGGGTGAAGCCAATAAATACTGCTGTTTGAAAAATCTTTTTCTTCCTGGATAGGAAGACAGACAGTTGAACAATCAAAAAAAGCCAGCACTGAAAAAATTAACATTATTGCCGACTGTGGTCATGCACCTTAAGAAGTAAGTATTGTGTTTTCTTGAAAAATTTTTTTCCTTTTAATGGAATAATATTCAAACTATGTACCAGTGTTCTAGAGATGTTAAAGAATGACTGTCTTCTATCAATTCACAGAAAAATAGTAATGAATAGAATCTCCTGAATCATGTTACTTCCTCACAGATCTTTAACCTTTGCTCCCTGTTACAAACAGAAAAATGGCAAACTGATACTAAGGAAAGAAAAGCACATAAACTACTGCCTTCATTCTTTATAGACTGTCTTATCTTGAGTCTGGTAAAGTTGCATCTCCTTTACCGGTGTGGTGGAGAGCAGAGCAGATTCTGAGGGACTACTTGAAACATATATTGTAGAGTCTTACATGACCAGTTATTATCATGAAGTATGTCACTGGTCCTTCTGGAATAAGGACCTTTTTATGGTAGATCCTTGTCATGAGGCTCTTCCATTGGTGTACTCATATTCCTGACTCACTTTGTTTTCTCCTTGAACCTAACCATAGCCAACAGCATAGGCTAGAACTTTCCACTAGAAAATTGCTGCCTTAATCCCAAGAAGCAGTTTTCTGTTGCAGATTTCTTATATGTAATATTGTCATAATATGTCAATAGAGTAATTGAATCTGTACATAAAATGGAATTTAAATATTTGTATTTCTTTGGGATTTTTTTTTTCTGCTAAGAGAATAATATTCTCCTTGGTGTCCTGCAAAGAATAGCACAGTTCTGGGTTCTCTATCACCTAACTAGTTTGAGAATCTCTAAACATTATTATTATTTTTTTCAGTTGTAATAATTGGAGCTTACTGTCTGTACCATTCATATCAACATTAACCTATCTTGTATAATTCATGTTTTTAACAAATGATCTTTGCCTCTCAAATCTGTTTTTAAAGTAGGAACTACATTTCATACTGCTTTTGAAATAGGATGAAATAATGTATATGAGTAACTTTAAAAGTAGTTTTTGGGGGCGCCTGGGTGGCTCAGTTGGTTAAGCGTCTGACTTCGGCTCAGGTCATGATCTCATGGTCCGTGAGTTCGAGCCCTGCGTTGGGCTCTGTGCTGCCAGCTCAGAGCCTGGAGCCTGCTTCGGATTCTGTGTCTCCCTCTCTCTCTGCCCCTCCCCTGTTCATGCTCTGTCTCTCTCTGTCTCAAAAATAAACAAACATTAAAAAAATAAAATAGATAGATAGATAGATAAATAAATAAATAAATAAAGTAGGTTTTGGAAATTTCACTAAACATATAAGAAAATCCAGAGAAAGCTACAGTGCAACCAAGGTTCATAGACTTGACTTTTTTTTTTAATTACTGCAGGCAAGACCTTAAAGAAACATTTATTGACAGTGGTGTGATGTCTGCCATCAAAGAATGGCTCTCCCCTCTACCGGATAGGAGTTTGCCAGCACTAAAGATACGAGAGGAGCTGTTGAAGATTCTACAAGAGGTTAGAGGCGGATAATTTGACTGTATGCTCCTCTAATTGTCTGTTGTGGTTTGTATAATTACAGCCTCTGTGTTTTACCGTATGTTCTTATACAATCTCTCTGACATAGTCTGTCGGAACAGGGGTTTCATGTATATGTGTTTAGTAGGAACATATCAAATAAAATGAGCATAAAAAGGAAGGCCTTTTAAAATTTCATGTAACTATAGAATTGAAAGAAAAAGATCTTGGAGTTGCGGTTGTTTATCTGAGAGTAATCATACAGTAGTGGACATGTTCTGGGGAGGCACTTGAAGTAGAACAGGCACCAACTTCAGTCAGATAAACTTGCATGTGAGTCTTGAGCTGGGCTGCCTTTATGTGGCTGTGACACCTTGGGCAGGCTACTTAACTTCTGAAGGAATTCCCAAGGAACTTCCTTTGTGCCAGGTGTTCATACATGTTTTGGTTCATTTATTCCTCACGACAAACCTGCAAGGTAGGTGTATTGTCTTCATTCTACAGATGAGGAAATTAAGACTCGGAGAAGTTAAATGACTTGTCCAAGGTCACATAACTAGCAGATGGCTATGCTTGGGTTCAGACTGATTCAGAGGCCTGTATTGACTCTTGTTTTAAACTACTAACCTCTGAGTGTGGTTAGTATACATTTTCTCACATTAAGTTTTACTTTGACTCAGTATAATACGGAACTCTCAACTTTTGATGTGAACACGGAGTATCTTTGTGTTCAATGTCTGCAGATCGTGAAAATGGATTTTTTGTTACTCTGTTGTGAATGAACCAGACCTTGGAGGTCCTCTAGAGTAGATTGGCAGGACTCCCAGCTTCTGAGTGATTAATGTGTATGTATGTGTTTATGTTCCCCAGCTACCTAGTGTGAGCCAGGAGACCCTGAAGCATAGTGGGATTGGACGAGCAGTGATGTATCTCTATAAACACCCCAAGGAATCAAGGTCCAACAAGGATATGGCAGGGAAATTAATCAGTATGTACATTTTGCTTTTTGTTTGTTGTGTTTGTGTATATCAGAAAGACATGTATATATAACTATATTTTTGTCAAGATTCATTTAAAATGAGTTCATAAAGTAGAATAGAAAATTTTTTGGTAATTTCTTATAGGTACCAGGTTTTTTTTTTTAATCCTTAGACTTAAAATGTTTCTCAGCAGATTTAAGTATGCTGTCAATATTAAAGATAGCAAGTGAAAAGTTGTCTAAGCCTGGATCAAGAGCATGTATAGAGAGGGGTTAGTGTACAGGCCCTAGAGTCAGTCCTACCTGGGTTCAAATCCTTACTGCATATCCTTAGGCAAGTGATTTAAGCTCTAAGCCTTGGTTTCCTCCTCTGTAAAATAATTATGTATTCACTTAAGTAAAAGTTACATGAGAGGATATATATAAAGCATGGTGCTTAGCACATAGTAAGTCCTTAAGAAATGTTAGCCACTAATGCTATTGTTGTTAACTTTTATAATGATCTCCAAAGCCTTTTGCATGTTCTATTTAATGATACCAGAGAAATCCAGGAGTCTGGATGAAATTCATCTAATCTGTTACCATATCATTTATGAAATCTTTCAGTTTTAAGAATGAAACCATGTGTGTTTTCATCGTTCTCCTTAACTCTTCCTGTGCTCTGTGTTGGAAAGGAATGTTTTAAACTTCAAGGGTATATCAAAAAATAACTACTCCTCTATGTGAATACAGTAATTATTTTTCTCCTCAACTTCTGAGATTATCAAAACTTTTTGAGAGAAATTTACTTTTTGTTATAAATCAGAGAAATGTTACATTTTTTATCTTGTTAATAATTTGTAGTGCGCTGTTGTATGAGAACTTTTATGCATTAGTTCTCAACTCTGATTTTGCCCTCTGCTTAGAGAAACAGAGTATTTCCAGTGATACCCATGACTTACTGTAACAGTGATTCTGAATCCAGTAGTGGTGGTGGATCTGTGTATATAAAGATACATAGGCCCCCTGAGACCCCCTGCTTCCTTCTTACTTGATAACACCTATCTTCTGTGTGTGAAGTTTCCTGCTTGTTTTGATAGTGTATTAAGTGGAACATTATGTTGAGGACAAAAACGTCAGTTGGCACTTCTGGACTTTCAATGACTAAACAGTGGGCATGTAGTAGTTTTCTTCATGGTCACGTCCCTGTAGCAGCTTTCTTAGATTTCATGAAATCTAGATTCTGTACTGCACTATTAAAATGCAATTTTTGAAGATGTAGACCATTTGACAATTTGACTTGTTTTTGGTTAAAATAGGAACATGGAAGAATTTGAAGATTTTCTATTTTCAGTAAATTGTTAGAAATTAGGCAATGAAATGTCAGCACTGCTAGTGATGACTATCAGAGCGAGTCAGGTGTTACTTTTTGTAAACCTCTGTAGTGGTTATAGAATGACTTTTTTTCAGAATTTATTTATTTTTGGGACAGAGAGAGACAGAGCATGAACGGGGGAGGGGCAGAGAGAGAGGGAGACACAGAATCGGAAACAGGCTCCAGGCTCTGAGCCATCAGCCCAGAGCCTGACGCGGGGCTCGAACTCCCGGACCGCGAGATCGTGACCTGGCTGAAGTCGGACGCTTAACCGACTGCGCCACCCAGGCGCCCCTAGAATGACTTTTTTACCCTGAATTTTCTGAATCAGCTGAAGCTGGTGATTATACTGGTATTATGTGCTGCGTATATCCTGAAATGATCTTGAAACAATGGTATCTTTAGGGAAAGAATATTCTAAATGCCTGGAATGTCACATCACGCTGGGGTGTGATTGTTTCAGGGAATGGTAGCAGAAATGCTGTTTTGTGGTCTAAACAATCGATTTTTCCTTGTGACAGATGAATGGTCTCGGCCTATATTTGGTCTTACCTCAAACTACAAAGGTATGACAAGAGAAGAAAGAGAGCAGAGAGATCTAGAACAAATGCCTCAACGACGGAGAATGAACAGGTATGAGTAAGCAGAGTAAATATTATTGCAGTAATGCCGTTGTTTTGTAAATAAGATCAATAAGAATCCTGCAAGATGATAGCATTTTGTCTTTTCTGTCACCTTGATATGCCTGTGTAGATCACACCCTTTTAGTTTAAATGTGGTACTCTACCATGAAGGCCCACGCTCCCTCCTTTTATGGTTCCATCTGGTGGAATGTGGCATCTGCCACAGTTTCAAAGGTTGCTTGTACAAAAAAACCTTTCCCTTTCTCAGGCCCATTTTCAAATTCTTAGAAAAAAGTTGTTACTGGTTCATTTTGTATCAACAAACCGGATATAGTTGCATCCAGGATGGCAGGGTTATAAGTTAAAAAAATAGCAATTACTACTTACCCATGATGAAACCTGGTATACAAATGATCATTAAAAAGAGTAGTACTTCCACAAGAGTAGAAGTAATCCCAGATCCGGTGTAAGGGAACTACCTGTGGTCTAAAAGTTGGCTTTGCTGTTCTTTTGTTAAATGATTCTGACCTTCCTGGTATCTCATGGATTACTTTTTTCACAGCACTGGTGGCCAGACACCCCGAAGAGACCTGGAAAAGGTGCTGACAGGAGAAGAAAAGTAAGTTTTCTTATTGTATTTTCTTCTTAGACGTCATGTAGAAAATCTTCTGCTTGCTGCTTTGTTTTAAGAAAGATTACAAAGGGGACCATGTTATGTTCACATTGGTGGGGGATGATTTTCAGTTTAGCATTTATTGAATATCCCCAAATACACTGGTACTCTGGAGGATAGAAGATTGAGAAATAGTTCATTCAGTAAAGATTTTGTTGCTGCTTGCTCCATGCTAGACTCTGTTAAGCTGTGGGAATACAAAATTGAATTAAAGATAGTCCATGCTCATAAAAATGTCTGTAGAGGGATTATAGGCAAAGGGCAGAGCTTACATGAAGATATGGGGTTATTGTGCAAGGCCCATTTAAGGGATGGCAAGTAGACTGAAGTGGTTGGGTAGTAGTCTGGTGCCTGAAATGGTGGAAGATAAGGTTGGAAGTGTAGATGTGGGCCAAATTTTGAAGGTGAGGAATTTTTACTTCTGTGATTCTGTAGAAAGTGAGCAGAGACGGGAAATTGTCAGATTGGATTTGGAGTGCTGATGCTGCCGGCATCGTGGTGTAGGGTGGGTTGGAAGGCAGAGGAACTGAAGGCAGTGAAAGAGTTCAACTAAGGTGGTATTGGGGAAGCAGAAGGTTAGAAGACTTATTATTAGCAGGGGCAGAATTGCCAAGAGTTTGTGACTCTGTGGGTGGGGAGTTTGGCTAGAGTTGAAGACACCAACCACAATTTTACTGCAAGTAACTGAGACAGTGATATAACCATTTGCTCAAACGGAGAGGAAGAACAGATTTTGAGGACATAGGTGCGTTCTGGATTGAGTGTAGTTAACATGAGATACCTAATGGGATGGATATTCCTATAAATATCATGGGTCTGAAACTTGGATTTGGAGCTGGAGACATAATAGATTTGATCGTCATCTCCACAGACAAGGTCGTTGAATCAAGAAAGTATAGGGTAGAAAATAAACCATAAACTGTGCCACTTTGGAAAGGGGTGTAGCCAGTGAAGGCAAGTGAGTACACTTGTCATGCATGTTGGAGAGGACCCTAGGGAAGGGAGGAGGCCATGCTAGAAAGAGGCAGTGGCAAGGGGCATGGGAAGTTGGCAGATGCTGCAGAGGGGCTTGTACAGTGAGTGTTGGCAGTGAGGCAGCACCCAGATTGCAAGAGGAGAGCGAGAGGGGCTGGAGGGTGCTGGTGTTGTTGGTTTAGGGATAGGTTTGATGATGGGACAGACGCCAGCTTCAGGGGGTAATAGGTTATGAGAATTTTCTTTGGCTAGCCACTTAATTTATTCACATTTTTGAAGATTGTAGAAGCTTGATGTTAAGAATAGATTAAACTAAAAAAAAAAAAAAAAAAAAAAGAACAGATTAAACTCCGTACAAGAGAATAGAAACAATTTAGAATTTTTTTGTCCTTCTCTCCCACACCAACCTATCCACACCCATTCTCCATTTACCCCTAGGGATGGACGGTTACCTAAAAGTTGAGTGATTTGAATGCCCAGACATTTACAAATAGGCCTTAGTTTTGAAGGATGCTAGTCTTAATTTAGTCTCAAATGTGTACATAAAAAGTAACTGTACGTCACACCATCAGATGCTGGCATGGCTGCTGAGAAAGTAGCTCAACTCATACATTGCTATGGGTAAAATGATACAGCTACTCTGGGAAACAGTTTGGCAGTTTCTTATAAAGTTGAACATGCAGCCACGATATGACCCAGCACTTACAAACTCCTGGGCATTTTCCCAGAGAAATGAACACTTGTGTTTGCACAGAAACCCGTAGATGAGCAAACAGCTTTATTCATAATAGTCAAAACTGGAAACAACCCAGATGTCCTTCAGGAAGTGAGTGGTTAAGCTGTGGTACATCCATACTATAGAATACCACCCAGCATTTAAAGGAACAAAATATTGACAGATGTAACAACTTGGATGGGTCCTCAAGGGGGTTATGTTAGTGGATGAAGCTAGTTTCTAAAGATTACATAGTGTATTCCATTTATATAACATTGTTGAAATGCAAAAATCACAGAAATGAAGAGTAGATTCGTGGTCACCAGGGGTTAGAGGCTGGGCAGATGGGGTAGAGAGGTGGATGTGTTTTTATAAAAGGGCACCAGGACAGTCCCTTGTGGTGAATACATGAACCTGCACATGTGATAAAATTGTAAATACACTAACATACAAATAAGCGTAAGTAAAAATGGCAAAATGTAAATAAAAACTGGTGGACTGTATCAACATCAATACCCTAGTTGTGTTCTTTTTTGTCGTTGTTGGTTTTTTTTTTTAAGTATTTATTTTGAGAGAGCACGCAAGTGAGAGAGGGGCAGGGAGAGGGGGAGAGAATCCCAAACAGGCTCTGTGCTGTCAGTGCAGGGCTCAATCTCATGCCTGTGAGATTTGACCTGGGCCAAGATCAAGAGTCAGATGCCCAACCAACTAAGCCACCCAGGTGCCCCAGTTGTGTTCTTGTAGCATAGTTTTGCATGTTGTTATCATTGGGAGAGACACTAGATCCTTCTGTATTATTTCTTAAACCACATGTAAACCTATAATTATTTCAACTTTTAAAGACAAGAAACTGGGGCGCCTGGGTGGCGCAGTCGGTTAAGCGTCCGACTTCAGCCAGGTCATGATCTCGCGGTCTGTGAGTTCGAGCCCCGCGTCAGGCTCTGGGCTGATGGCTCAGAGCCTGGAGCCTGTTTCCGATTCTGTGTCTCCCTCTCTCTCTGCCCTTCCCCTGTTCATGCTCTGTCTCTCTCTGTCCCAAAAAAATAAATAAACGTTGAAAAAAAAATTTTTTTAAGACAAGAAACAAAAATTACTATATTGCATATACAAAACCACGTAAACTGCTTTATAGGCATACTCCATCTTGAGGGATCATTTTGGCTGTTTGAGTTTTCACGTGACAAGTGAACCTTGAGGAGCTCCACTGGACTAGAGAATTGGAATTTAGGGTTCTGGTGTGGGAAGCAACCTTGGAAAGGAGTGAGGCTTGACTGTGAAGCTGAGGAGAGGCTAGAAGGAATCCTGAAAATGCAGAGGAATTCAGCTTTGGGAGGAAAGTGGAAGAATTCTTAGAGTAAATGTGAGTGATAGCGAGGCCAGCTTAAGACAGCAAAGAGGGCACTTTGGGTGACCTGGGGAGGCAGAGAGGTTTGAGGCACCTGTGCAGTTAAATCAGCTGGGCCCAGCTGTGGGGGGTGCTGCATGACAGCATGCTCTTCTTCCTGTCCTCAGAGCTCTCAGACCTGGAGATCCTGGATTCTGTGCCCGTGCGAGGGTCCCCATGCCCTCAAACAAGGACTACGTTGTCAGACCTAAGTGGAATGTGGAAATGGAGTCATCCAGGGTAAGCAAGCAGGGAAATGGCAACCTGGATCTCAAGTGCACGTTACTGTTTTGTCTTTTTACTCCGTGTGTAATAACTCTTAACAGCTCTTAGGTTTATCTCATTTAACGAGAGCTGTTTTCTGGCCTCTTAGCTAGCCAGATCATTCATTGCTTGTGAGCTTTACTTCAGACTTAAAGCAACATTATCCAGCCAGGAAGTTTCTTCTCATTAATCCCTTTGTTTCAACTGAATCTTGAAGCCTAGAGTGTTTTCATGCAGTCATTTTTTTAGAGCCATGAGAAACAACTCCCCTGCTTCTGCAGTCTTCCCCCACCCCCAACCCCCCCGCCCTTTCTCTTCAGCTGTTTTAAGTAATTCTGTTGTGAAATATTTAGGGCAGATACTTCCTCTGTCATCATTGTAAATACTACTCCGTGATCTACATTGCTCTTCAGTAATCTCTTTTTATTCTCCATTCAAACCACTCTTTCTAGCCTGGTATTCTTAAAAAGGGCCTAAGCCGATTGGAAAAGCATAAGAGGCGATTTGCAGAACAGAAACGACTCAGCAAAGTGCACCGTGCTGTCAAGTTCAGCATTGAAGGCAACAGGATGCCCCTGTAGTCCTGGCCCTACCAGAGTGTATCCGGGAGGTATCCCCAAGGAAGCATGCTCTGTGCATGGGCTTGAATTGTCAGCAGCTAGAGTGAAAACAAGTGTGCGTGTGCTTTCTTAACCAGAAAAGGCCTGGCCCACTTTTAGTTACTGAAGTAATGAACTTAACACTTTGTGACTTTCAAGTCCTACTGAATGTTTAGAAATGGATATGGAAGTCCCTTCCTTTATTGGTACCCCAGGAATTCATATATGATTAAGTCCCTGATGAGCATTTGGTCTTCCTCTTACCCATTTTTATTGAAAATGCTTTTTTAGGGTCCAGGATCATAGCGGTCTGCATTACAGGCATGTGAATGTGAATGTAGCTTCTTAGTGGAAGGGAGGTGGCTTTTTCCCACATTGTCTGTGTGCATTTGAGGGCCCAGTGCATAAAGCCTTGCACTGAACACTTAGGAGATAAATTTGATTGATGGTCAGAAATGAAAGAGTTGGGACCGTTCCTGCAGCCAGACTCACTCCCTGCTGTGCTCTGAGGTTAACAGCAGTGCCTTGTGGCAGGGTGCTCTGAAGAGTCTGAGTGTGTTGCCTTCTTGTGACTTCTCTGGGACCCCTGCTTTGGCAGCTCTTTTCACGGACTACACTCCCCTCTGTGCGCGTTCGTTTTTGCCGTTCAGCTGCAGTCAAAACAAAGCACACCCTTTCTTTCTTACTGAGAATAGCTGGAAGATAGAAGAGCGCTACTGCTTCAGAGCCAAGAACTTTTTCGTAACTTCCCTCCCCTTTTTTGTACTTTTACCCATAAAAACGTCCCCTGACCTCCCTTCTCTCCCTCAGCCACCCCTCTTTCTTTTACCTGGTTTTCACTGTCTTTCCCTCTTTCTATCCCTCTCCCTGGTAGTTTTTCCTCCCCAATATACTTACTTTTGAGAATTGAGAACCACAATCTGGCAAAGAAATTATAATACAGAGTCTCAGTGGCCACTCTTCTTTGGAAGCCTGTCGGTGTTTTGAAGGGCGTGTGCCCTCCTCTCCCAGTATGTGACGGAGAGGCAGGAAGAGAGAAGTGACCAGCAGGAGGAGAGGGAAACTTAAGCTGAATTCCTTTCCTTCATCCCACACCCCCCAGGTCATAATGTGCCAGTATTTACCTAGGCCTGAGTCTGGCTGATAGAGTTCTGTCAGAAAACAAATACGGCATGATCCAGAAAGCTGGTGGTTTCATGTTACGTTTTAGGATGTTGTCCTTAAACCACCTGATACCGTTTCCCCAGTTCAGGATGAATCCTTACAGATTCACTCAGGGCTTTCACAAACCACAGAGACACGAAGAGTACTATTAGAAAACGTATTTTCCAAGAAGAAAATTGGAGTGAGTAAATGGCTTTCAAATGAAATGCTCGTTGTTTTAAATGTCATTTTTATCTTTGAAATTACATAAGTGAATATAAAAGACTATAGAATAACCCATCCCCAAAACCCTGCTCTTCCTCAGAGTCCCCACTATTAACAGTTTGATGTGTTAAATGTATTTCCAGTAATGTTTCAAAGTTGGTTTTTTTCTGGTTGTAATTATAGAAAAATTTGAGATTAGAAAGGGAAATTGCCCACAATTCAAAAGCAGTTTGATACCATTTTTGCCCTTTTTTTCTATTGATACTTTCATATAATTACAATTATTCTGTATATAATTTTGGTCACTTCTTCTCGTTAAACCACCTTATAGTTTTATCACTTATAATGGATGCCTAATAGCCTATCATGTGAATATATAATTTGTTTATTTATTCCTCTGTGGTTTCTGATTTTTCACTCCTAAATAATGCAGCAACCTATACTACATTGTATGTTTATATGTTAATTTATTCCATGGAGTGCTTTTAAGATAACACTAAAATGACAAAAAGCAATGTATGTTTTTTTATAACCTTTTAAATGCAGAAAGCACAAATAAAATTACTGTCAGTTGTAATTCCACCACACCTTAATATTAACATTTTGGGTTATTTCCTTTTTGTCCTCTTTATATTGTACATAAACATTGCTGGTTTTGTGCTTTGGTATTTTTGTTTTCAAATTTTATGCAAAATTGTTATTTTATACTTTGTTGGATTTGTGTTTTACTTAACACGGTAAACATTCATTTGAGTAAACATTCTTCAGTGACTTAATATTGTGTCCAAATACAGTCGTACCATAATTTTTTAAAGCAAACCTATCTTGCTGATCTTTTAAGCTGCTTTTGGTTTTTCTCTGATAAAACAGTGCAGCATACACTTTTACTGTCCTAAGGAAGTGGTACAGAGTTGAATCAGGAGAGAGATCACTGAATTTGGCATGTTAGGTACTTTATCCTGTGTGTTTCCAGGCTTGGGGAAACTAGGCATGTGCCAGCCACAAGTCTTAAAAGTTACAGGACTAGGTAGGAGTGGATTCGTGTCACCTGGGTATGTCCCATTTGAGGAGGCTAGAGGGCTCAGATTGTCAGGGTCCTGGGAGACAGTATTGGCTGGTGTGTACAGCTGCTGGGAGTTGAGTAATTGGTGCAGATCTGAGCAGGTAAGGCTTCTGATGTGGACTAACTACTAAGAATCAGGGCACATTGTCTGAAAGGAGGTCACATATCTAGGACCGTCTAGGAAATCTGGGGATTTGATAGCGTGAGAGAAGCGTAGTTGTTTCTCATCTGGTAATGTATATTTATGCTAACTCAGAGTCCTAGTGCCAAGTGTTAAATTGATATAAAATAATATTTGGATGTGGGATTGTTTCAGAAAATCTAGGGTGGATGGTCTACATGGCTCCTGTTCAAGACTGACAGGAGCTCCTGTGTGAGGTACACGCTGAGTCTAGAGGTGGAGTGAGACTTGGGGGGCTCCCCAGCTCAAAGGAACATCCCCACACTGGCCCCACCCCCAGAGTGTCTTCTGGGCCCTCCCTTCTTTTAGCAGTCTCAGAATTGAGCTGCACAGATGATTCAGTAGTAAACATCTGGGGAGAAGAATTAGAAAAACTCCTCTCTTTATAAACCACTCAACATTCTTAAAGATCAGAATTGTCAGTAACACTAGTCAACAAGAAGAATTGGCTCTGATCTTTGATAGAAGTGGCAGACCTTCTCAGCATTTCTAACAGTATCGATTTCTGGAGACTGCATCTCTTCAAGACGCGTAGTTGTTTCAAATTATGAAAAAAATAACCAAAACCAAATCTTAAAACTAAGAGGCTAGCAGGAACAGATGCAAGAAGTGGTAAGCCCCTTGGATCCAAGGCTTAATTTACTTTTCTTCTTGTATCCAGTATACTTATCATAAATCTGATCCGTCCCAAAGTAGTGGTAATGATGGTAACAGCTGATACTTATTTTGAGCACTGACTCTGTGCTAGTATTTGACAGTATTACCTCATTTACCTCTCCTGGCGGTCCCGAAAGTACAGACCAGGGGCCAGATTTGCCCAGGGCTACAGAACCTGCTGAGGCCAAGCAGAGATTCACTTCAAGTCTGAAACAAGAGCTCCACCGCCTGACGGGTTCGCTTTATTCATCCTCTAACCTCGTTCATCAGGCTTCATGCTTTTTCTCAGGTGACTTTCCTTGCCTCAGAAGATCAGTCATTCTTCATGCCGGCACTGTTTGAAGGTGAATATGACAAGCTGTCAGCTCCATGCTGACCTTTGAAAGGGAAAAGCATACAGTCAGAATCTAATTTGATGGAATTGCAGGGGGGATCATAGTTTAAATCGTCCCTCTTCCATCTAGATATCTATGGACTGAGGCAAAATTTTAAAATAAGGCACAGTTCGTTACTCTTCATTGAGAGAGTTTAACGTGTACATTGCTAACGCTTGCTCTATTCCTGAGGTCACCAAAGCAGATTATGATTATTCCAGAGATAAGAGCCCTTTTTAACTTTCAGACAAACGGAGGTGAAAGGCAAAACTGGATTTGTGTGTTTCAGTAATTTGCTCTTTAATTTTTACCCCACTCTTAGTTTCAGGGGACCTCCAAGAAGGGTATCAGTCGACTGGATAAACAGATGAGAAAGTTCACAGATATCAGGAAAAAAAGCAGATCTGCACACGCAGTGAAAATCAGCATCGAGGGCAATAAAATGCCATTGTGACCTTGCCTGGGATGTGTCCCCATCTCTAAGAAATGCGCAATGGACTCTTTGGAGAAAGAAGAGGATATTTTAAATTTTTTTTTTTTAGTGTTTCTGTAAATGCTTCTGCTTGTATCAAATGTCATAGGACTTGCATTTCTCTCACTTGTATTTAAAACTGTTTGTTGTGTACTTTGTACAGAAGACTACTACTCATACTTCTATAAACTTTACACAATAAAGTTCCATTCTGGTTTTGGGGGGCTGTCTCTTCATTGTCTTAGAGGATCCATTCGTGGGGGGGGGTGAAAATTGGTTTTTGGTGAGGGAAAAAAGTCTTAAATATTACAGTGGTTTGTAAACTGTCCGTGTTCAGCCTACCTGACTGTGGCATAATAAGGAATTTAAGGGATTTGTCTGGTCTCTATCTTGGGTTCCTAACAAGGAGCTTCTAAACCGTGTGGGTGGTAGGAATGTCTTTGTGATGCTAATGAGGTGGCTCATGGTAGGCCCCTAGATAGCTTTAGGGTGGGGGCTGTTACCAGAAAGATCCACCATGTAATTTGAGGGTTGAGACTTTGGGCAGGCCTGATGCATGATTGGCGTGAGGGGATTGAGTCCAGTCACGTGCCCAATGATGTCATCGATCATGCCTGCGTAGTGAAACCCCAGTTAAGAACTCTTGACCCGGAAGCTCACTGGGGCTTCCTGATGGGTGAGCACACTGAGCTGAGATGGTGATGTGCCTTCATTCCACAAGGAGATTGTGTGGAAGCTGTCTCCTCCCAGAACTTGCCCTGTGTGTCTTCATTTCGTTGGTCTTCCTTTGTAATAAAAATGATCATAAACATAGTGCTTTCTTGAGTTCTGGTGGTCATTTTAGCAAATTTTTGAACCTGAGGGGTTCATGGAAACCCCCAGATTTGTAACCAGTTAGTTAAAAGTGGGCATGGACCCACTTGCTGCTGGCATCCAAAATGGGGGCAGTATTGTGGAAGACTGAGCCCTTAAACCTTGGGGAGTGCAGTGCTAACTCCCAAGTGGTTAGCGTCAGAATTGAATCGCAGTACCCTAGTTGGGGTTGAAAGGAAATACCAACAAAATCTTATTTCTTACTGTTTCTCTTGTTAGGGAAACTTTAATTACTTGATTTTAATTAATTTACATAGATGTTTTCTCCTGGGAAGGGTGCTATAATGAAAAACAGGGTGAGAAATACCGCCGTTAGAGGAAATGTGGATATAACTGAAAATTACTGTGCCAGTTACTGATGGCAGTTGGGCAGTTGGGATAGATAATTATAGTTTGTGGCTGTATTTTGTTTTTGTGATACTTTGAACTTACTTTAGTAGTCTCTAGATTTAATTATGAAGAATCTTTAATTAGTCAAAATGACTAAACCCAAGAACCAGTAATTCTTTTTTATTTTTTACATTTTATTTATTTTTGAGAGAGAGACAGAGCACAAGTGGGGGAGAGGCAGAGAGAGAGGGAGACACGGAATCCGAAGCAGGCTCCAGGCTCTGAGCTATCAGCACAGGGCCTGACGTGGGCTCGAACTCCCAAACCCTGAGATCGTGACCTGAGCTGAAGTTGGACGCTTAACCGACTGAGCCACCCAGGCGCCCCACCAGTAATTCATTTTAATTGTAGAAATTCTACTCATACAAATTGGAATAGGGTTTCTGACAACCTGGATTTTCAAAAAAACATGAAAACCTCACCATAAAAGCTTTTGAACAGACAAAATAACATGCAGTGTATGCATTTTACTCAGAAGAATCTCTCAGAATCTCTGCATTTGCTTTCAACAAGCTTAGAAGCACAGATGGAATAGTGAGCTATAAAAGGCAGGTACGTAAAGATATTACTAGGTGCTTGCTAACCACTAGATGGAAACAATTGCTTTCTACACTACCCATTTGCTTCATATAAATGGCCTCAAAAAAACTTGTGAGAGCAAAAAAAAAAAAAGCACAGCCACCTACTGAAGCCCATGTTGATGACCCTGGTCATTAAAAATTCTAAACAAGAAAGGTAAGAGTCATACTTTCTAAAAAAAAAAGATTTAAAGTTTACCAATATAGCATTTTGCCATTTGATGGGGTAAGCTCCAGTTACCTGATGGCTTCTCCCATGTAGGGTAAAACTGTTGGTGCCAGGTGTAAAGTGACAATCATGCCTGAGGAATTCAAAATGATGCGGAATTTGTCTTATATGGAAGAAGATTGTTTCTGTATAAATGAGCCTTGGTCAATGGGTTATTTTAGAAATTGCCAAACCTGGCCTAACAGTGGCCTTTTTTTTTTTAATGTTGGAAATATTTCCAGCTAACCATTATGTGGCAAGATTGGCAAAATAAACTCCCAGTATGCCCTTCACCTATATTTAACCAATTGTGAACATTTGTAACATTAATTTATACATATGAGTAACTTGCTGACAGCTTGCTTCTTGCTTCCCAAATAGTTAAGCATATTTCTCTCCACAGGACCTTGAGTTTGTCCCAGTGTTTGGTGGTGGTAACTTTGACCATTTGAATGGAGTGAAACAATCATTTTGTTTCCAGTTAAAAGAATTGTTGACTAATTATAATTATTCTAAGTTAATTGTAAATATGTAAAATACACATAAAATCTGACATCTTAAAGGATCATCTTAAGTGTACAGTTAGTGACATTGTTCACTCTTGTTTGCAATAACCACTTCCTTTCATCTCCAGAAATCTTTTCATGTTAATAAAGTGAAACTACCCATTGAATAGTAGCTCCACATTCTCTCCCTTAACCACCCCCCCCCCCCCGCCCAGCACTGGCAATCACTGTTCTACTTTGTCTATGATTTTGACTATGACTCTTATATAAATGGAATCATACATTATTTATCCTTTTTGACTGGTGTATTCACTTAGCACAATGTTCTCAAGGTTCATTCATGTTGAAATGTATCAGCATTTTCTTCCATTTTAAGGCTGAATAATAAATACTCTTGTATGTAGATACCATGGTTAGCTTATCCATTCATCATCTGTTCATGGACATTTGGGTTGCTTTTACCTTTTGTTGTTAATAATGCTGCCATGAACATGGGTGTGCAAATATTTCTTTGAGACTCTGCTTTCAATTCTTTGAAGGAATTCTACCCAGAGGTAGAATTGTTGGATCTTACGGTAATTCTAATCTTAAGGAGCTGCCATTATGTTTTCCATAATGGCTGCACCATTTTACATTCCTACCAATAGTGCAAAGGATTCCAATTTGTCCACCACCACACCAACACTTATTTTTGGTGTGTGTGTGTGTGTGTGTGTGTGTGTGTGTGTGTGTGTGTGTGTGTGTGTGTTTTAATAGTAGCCATCCTAATGGGTGTGAGGTGGTACGTCATTGTGTTTTTGATTTGTATTCTGATGATTAGTGATATTGAACATCTTATTTTAGTGCTTTTGATACCTTTTTTGGAGAACTACTTATTCAAATATTTTGCCCATTTTTTAAATAAGCTGTTGAGTTGTTGGAATTCCTTATATATTGTGGATAATAACTCCTTATCAGATAAATAATTTGCAAATATTTTCCCCATTTCATTCTTTATTCTCTTTTTAATTTTATTTTTTTTCAATATATGAAGTTTGTCAAATTGGTTTCCATACAACACCCAATGCTCATCCCAAAAGGTGCCCTCCTCAATACCCATCACCCACCCACCCCCTCCCACCCCCCATCAATCATTCTTTATTCTCATTGAATGGCCTTGGTTCCCTTGTCAAAAGTCATTTCTGGGCTCAATTCCATCAGGCTATGTCTGCCTTTGTGCCAGAGTGACACTTTTTTGTAGTGTTTTTTGCAACAAGAACCAAGTTTTGGTTTTTTTCTCACATTTGAAGTATCCCTTGGTGACATCCTTGGCCTGCAACTGTTTGCCATAGTCCTTAAGCACCACAGAACAGCAACCAACGCTTAATGGGGTTTTCCCTCTGTCAGTTTTACAGAGGCCTACCCATTCCCCTAATTTCTTATAACCTTAATTAGGTTGATTTTGGTGTTCAGCACAAAGGGCCTCCACCAACTTGACACACATGGGCTCATCACAGTTGGATATAAGCACACAAAGGTGGGTTTGGCCCTTGTCTAAGGCTTTGGCAGCTTCACGAATTCCACATGCTAGGCCGTCATGGATGAGGGTGGTCTTCAGCACCTCTTGTAAAACAGTGTTAACCTCCATTACACTTCCAGCAGCAATGACTTCCTCAGTCATGGAGGTGGGTTATGGGTGGAGCCCAATTTTGAGTGCACCCAATCCTCTGCCTCCACGTGACTGAGGGAAAGAGAGCATGGCACTGTTGTGATTACTATAGGTTTGTAGCAAATCCTAAAGTGTGAGTCTTCTAAATTTGTTCTTCAAGATTGTTTTGACTATTTGGGGTCCCTTGAGATTTCATATGAAACTTAGGATGGATTATTCTATTTCTTTGATAAACGTCATTGGGGTGTTCATAGAGACTGCACTGATTCCATAGATCACTTTGGGTAGTGCTGGACGTTTTAACAATATTAAGTCTTCCAGTCTATGAACACAGGATCTGTATATTCTCTTTCATTTCTTTGAGCAACATTTTGTAGTTTTCAGTGTGTAGGGATGTGTTTATAGACATTTTCTTTGTAGTTATGGTAATTACATATAACATACTAAGCTACAAATATTTTTAAACTGTAATTTCAATCACATGCAAAAGCTACTTTATAGTCTAGCCCTTTTTATGTTACTGAAATCATAAATCACATATATATTGTCTACCCACTAACAGACTTCTAGTTATTTTTTATGCTTTTATATTTTAAATCCTGTAAAAGAAGTTATGATAATTATAAAACTAAGTTTTATATTTATCCGTGTAATTAGCTCTACTGGAAAGATTTACATTTTTGTATGGCTTCGAATTACTTACTAGTATCCTTTCAATTTGGGGGACCACCTTAAGCAATTCTTGTGGAGCTTGTCTATTGGTAGTGAATTTCCACAGCGCTTGTTTGTCTGGGAATGTGTTAATTTCTCCCTCATTTTGGAAGGATAGTTTTTGCCAGATACAGAATTCTCGGTTGATGAGGGTTTTTTCTTGCAGCATTTTAATTATATCATCCGACTGCCTTCTGGCCTGCCAAGATTGTGCCCTGGGAGCCAGAGAGGGACCCCTTTACTAGTAAAATGCTCTGCAATTTTGTTTTGTTTTGTTTTGTTTTGGAGGGGATTAGATTAACCATTGTTTCCAAATTGACTTCTCACCCACCTGCATACTACTCTTCCTCTTAGAGATTGTCAGGCCAGGCTCCATATGGTCTCTGTTATGATCTTCCCCTCCTGCCGTAGAGGTAGCCGCTTTCCCATCTCATGCACTGTGGAACACGTACGTGTAGTGTGGAGTTAAGTGAGGTCGGTTACCTGTATATAAAAGGATTGCTGAGATGTTCGAGAAGTCCTGAGAGGTGGAATTGCCCAGTGTAGACATGGGCTAGAAATGTTACAAAAATGCATGTGTCTCAAGTTGGCTGATTTTGGTATGTTGAGCTACAGATAGGCATTTCATATGTTCATTGTTTTTTTTAAAGAAAGTGGTGGGCTGTATCACAGTATTACTAGTATGCCTCATTTTAAGCAAGCTCAGTACATAAATGTAAAGATTTGACCAAAACTTGGAGATGACCGTTTGTAAAAGGATTTACTATAAGATTTTTAAAAAAACATTCTTGCTGCCTCAAAGCAGGATTTGAATTAAAAGAAGGATATGAAGGAACAACTAGGGAAAACACCACTCACTCTGGGGGAGGAGGGTTTGGATCTGTGCTCCCAGGACCAGC